TATCACTATATTTCCTGGTGCTACTTGGTTTTCCATTTTGTTTCCTACTCTGTTGCTGCCACAAGATCCTGATTTAGCTCCTCAATGAGCTCCAGCTACCTGATATGGATTGGCAAGCCAACAGATTTGTAGTTTCCAATGGTTTTGACTCCGCTCCTTCTGTTTGTCTTGCTTTCTTTTCATGTTGTGGAAAATCCTGGTTTAATTTTGGTTTTATTTCCATCCTGTCAATCTACCTTTCTTTGTAAAAATCAAAAATATAGATTGCCAAAAAAAAATTAAATTGTTTCATCTGTGAGGTCTGAGAGTGAATGTGCTGGCAGAAGGGTCGGATTTGGATGCACTCCCACCAAATTGTGTTCGTAGTTCTCCAACTAGTATCTCCAGCACTCTGAGTCTTGACCTGTCGAGTACCTTCTATCTTGTCAGGTGTTTTGTACTGGTGGGTGAGCATTTTATAACCCGGAGTTTTGATATCTGGTGTTAATAGAAGATTTTTGAGTTTGTGTGAATAGTTCACACCGTTCTCTGTGAAAGAGCGCATAACTTAGTACAGTAACAGTCTCCCATAACTTAGTACAGTACAGGCATGTGTTCCCTGGATGGAAGACCATATCCACGTAGAATAGTGATATGGTATACAAAGGAGGAGATGTCTGTGTGCATCGAGAAAAGGTAATTTTTTTTAAAGCATCACTGACCATTTAAGAAGTCATTAAAGGACCACTATAGGCACCCAGACCACTTCAACTCAATGATGTGGTCTGGGTGCCAGGTCCATTTTGGATTAACCCTGCAGCTGTAAACATAGCAGTTTCAGAGAAACTGCTATGTTTACAAATGGGTTAATCCAGCCTCTAGTGGCTGTCTCATTGGGATTTTCAAAGTGAGAAGATGCCAGCGTCCATAGGAAAGCATTGAGAATGCTTTCCTATAAGACTGGCTGAATGCGCGCGCATTCAGCCGATGACGGCAGAAGAAGGAGGAGATTCCCCAGTGCCGGGCGCTGGAAAAAGATAGGAATTTAACACCTTCCTCACCCTAGAGCCCTGGCACTATAGTGTTCTCCTGGCACTATAGTGGTCCTTTAAGAAGTAGTTAATGTGCTGTATGTGAACTTTTTTATTACTTTTTTTTTTTTAATCTTTATTTTTATTGTGCAAAGGGAGGTACAAACATGGCTGCAATGCCACAATAGCGATTACATGCCTTCGCAAAGCTGACAGTACTGTGACATGGGATTAAACTGTACACATTTTTTAAATTGTTAGAGTAATGCTGAGTAAGTCAGTTAGTAAATGCGAGTAACAATAGTAAGAGATGTGTTTACGAGAAATAACTTGACATGACTGATGTAGATTAGTAGCCTGCTAAATTGCTAAACATTATAATAAGCAAAATGGACATGAGTAGAAGAGGAGCATGGAACGTTATGGCAGCTGTATGCCTAGCTAGGAACATAGATATCGTGGTCATGCTTAATAAACAGTTGTAGGTTAGAAAGGTACTTATGCTGAACTAACTTATGTATCAGAATAGCGAGGCTATACATAGAAAGGCTTAGCTTATAATCGCTTGGTCCCTAGCTATTTCCCCCCCGCGGCCCCCGGCATAAACAAAAGGGCTATTGAACTACATACATACAGGAGTTCGTCTCGGGTATTAAGCGGTAATGAATATTAGGCACTGTGCCTGACATTGAGTCCCGGTCTTGTATGGGTCAGCCGATGCCTTGTTGGGGCTGGGTGTGCTCCCACTGCGCCGTTAGTTGCAGCAATGGTGCGTGCCACATTACCCTTGGTCCAGCAGTGTGGGAGAACAGTATCTCAGTGTGGGCAGAGGACCTGTTCGGTATGTATAATGTGACTCCAGTTGGGGTTCCCATCTGTCGGTGTGTTCGTTGGCTGTAGCTGTGTCCGTGGATTTGTGCTGCTGCTTCCACCGTTTTAGGCCTCTTGGTCTGCCACTTGCGTGTGTGGGTGAGTTGGCCATTGCCCCTCTTAGGCTGGGTCATTTTCTGGGAGCAAGGCGGTGTCCTGCGCTGTGCTGTGGGGGTCCCCTCAAGATGCTTTGCCTGTACATGATCGCATTCACCCTTGGTGTGGCTCCGTTCATCCGATATCGGGTTGGTCTTTTTCAGGCACCTGTGGAGCCCGGGAAGGGAGCTTACGGCTCGTGCCGGAACATTCTCTTGAGCCTCTCGCAGCAGGCCGTGTGGCATACCTTCAAGCTGGGTTCCTGGTTCCGTGGGCCACGCAAGCTGTTCCAGCCTCTCCCAGGGCTCCGTTTCTCTATCGACCGTGCAGAGGGTTGAGGCGTGTGCGCCGTTCGCCATTTTGTCGGCCACACCAGCGACCACCAGTCCGCCCGATCTGTTCAACCGCTTATCACCTGCTGAGGGGACCGTGAGGGGGTGGACCGGGATAACCCCCGCCGGTCTGGGGGGGGAGTACGAGGGCCCGGAGTCACACATCTGGCTGGTTCAGGTAGCAGGGAAGTGGCCGTCCTCCCTGCGCCCGCCATGCTGGTAGGCCTCGCTGTGAGTTTGGGTACGTCTGTGTGACATCTTCGCTTGGGTGGTGTCTGTGTGTGCGCCCCGGTATCACCCGTCACTTGGTGGCCTTTAAACTGCATTCTAGTGCCTTTCAAGCATCTAGAATCTGTTGTTTTAGCCCCAAGCAGCAGGAGCTGGTGAGGCATGCTTCCTCTCTGCTCAGCGGTCAGGCCCTTTTATTACTTTTTGATGTTCAACATTTTTTATTGCTGATTTTTTTTTTCTAAATGTTTACCTTTCTTCCAGGTGGAAGAAGTGTTTCAAGGGTGCTAAAGATCTTTTGAACTAATTTTAGCTCTATTTTCTGTGTTCCTTTAAAGGGGCTTATGCCAAATGGCAGACTGCTCCTAGCATAGTAATGCGAAAAATGTTCTTAATTTAAATCAATATACTGTTAAAAACAACTAAAACTTGTTGATTTTTTACTTTTAGAAAAAATCACATTAACGTGAACTTTAAGTTCACCTCGGCACAGCACACATATAAAAAAGTAATCTATTAAACAATGACTCTACTGTAAATATAGGTTTAGCAAAATGAAATTAAATCAACACAATTTCAGTTTATTTTAGGAACAAATGTTCCTTAATATGTAGTATTGAAGTTGAGTGTGTAAATATTTCACCATTAAGACTTTTTTTTATTCAATTTTAAACTGGAATTTGAAAGTTGAACATACACATTATTGAATACAGCTTTTCAAACATTGGACTGGCCTTTACTTGCTGGTAATCTATATATAGTTATTTGAGACCTCAGTAATGTAGGCACTATTCCAAGGTCAGAACTAATACATGATCAGAACTTAGCCTCCTCTGCCTGAATGGGTGTAGCTATATTTTTGTGCGTTTACTCACCCCACCACTCCTCAGTTTACTCATTCACTGATAGGGTACTGTATATGCAATGTAATCAGTTAATTATGATAGCAGAATCCTGATTACTACAGGAGGTAGGGTTGCCTGATTGCCATGTTTTTGCAGGATACAAATGAATGTTGCATGCTACATAATTTCGCATGGAATTCACTTCCGAAGTAATATTGTTTTGCTGTTTAATGCTATCTGCTGAGACTACTTACCGCAACTTAAAAGTAACCCCAGCAGTTGACGAGACTCTGTCAATAAAAAATAAACTTTATCTAATCTGCTTTAGTGGAGCTCCCTCGGTTTGAATTATTATTATTATTCTTTTTCCTGAGTGCTGTTTTTCTTCATAAAATGCACAAAGAAGAGTAAGGACTACTACTTTTTTAATGTGTAAAACGAGATACTGTTTCGGTTGCTAGTCACATTTACCTACAATTTATCATAAAAATCAGATCCACAGAAGGGCAAACAGCAGACATAGTGAGCATAGTATAACAAAATGACTGCGCCCAGATATTGAGATCCAGCACAAGTAAATAAACATTATAAATATAAATAAGAACAAATGTCAAGGGAGGGCGTATAATCATTAATATACCGAGTGGGTAATCAGGAATTGAAAAGAAAAATAAAAAAAAAAACTGACTGGGACATTTTAATATAATTTTCTCATGAGACCAGTAGAATCTGTAGCATGTCTTTCTCTTTCATTTAAAAATAAATAAATAAATTTGCATGTGATAATGCCCTTTGCTATAGGATGATATCAGCTGCAACAAAGCTGATATCACTCTGTTACCAGATGTTTAAACAGCAATTGGATGAATACTTTAAAAAACAATATTTATGTATATAATTTTTGATTTTTCAGCCTTTAATGTTGACCCTGAAGGTCTGTTCAGTCTGTCATGAGTTTTTATTGTATATTTTCATTTTTTGCACTTATTGGTTTTGAGTATGGATTTATTTCACAATTATTCGTAGTTATTTAATAAAGTTTAATTTTAATACAGTGAGTTGTGGCAAACTAACCCATTGACCTTGGGCGGCTTAGTGCTCCTGAGGCCTGTTTTTCTATTGACTATGTAACTTTACATAATAAAAAAAAAAAACACACCGTACAGTACGCTAAAACTGAATAAAATAAAATACTGACAAATTTTCGTCTTTTTATACAATACCCCAGGACAGAGAAATAACAAACAATAGCGTAAAATATGTATTTTATTTCAAGGCAATATTGCACTATTATTTATTTCTTTTACATGTGGTACTAAATGACAAGATGATTTGTCATAATTAATTACAAGTATGTTTACTGCTCTCCTTTGTTGTTGTTTATATGTTTAAATAACTTAATTATCTAAATAACACTTTTTTTGGGGGGGAGGGGTTTGAAGCTCAACAGCTCCAAATCATCAATTCATTATTATAACTTTTTATTTTATTTTATTTTTTTAAATTAATTTTATTTGTTATGCAAACTGTTCCCTAATGCAGCCTTTCCCTGCAGACCTCATGCCTGCCTACAGAGCTAGGAACACGTTTTCTGCTTAAAGATAAGGCGTCCACGTAACCTAGCAACAGCAGGCGCCCCGACCACGGACGCAATAAAATCTAATGCGGGCGGAGCATGTCGGGAAATTGAGTCTTTTCCGTCTCGCACAAAGCCTACGCCTAGGTGCTCCAGAACTACAACTTCCGCCGTGCCTGCGGTGCGGCACGCTCACCCTTCTACTTTCAAAGGCGGATAAGGAATGTGCGAGAGGCTTTGTTACCTGGCACAGGGGGAGAAACAGGTGCGCTAGAAGAGACGCAAGGGATTCTGGAATGTGTAGTTCTCTCCACAGTTAGAAGAAAGTGTTGGCAGATGAGCCATGAAGTTTGGAGGACTACAAGTCCCATGGGAGAAGATAACAGATAGAAATTAGTGGCTCCAGGGCTGAAGTCTACCTGGTCACCGTGCAGGTAAGGAGTAGAGACATTGAGATGAATGGCAGAATCAAAGGCAGTGTGTCACCTGCTTTAAAACTGATATTTTAGGACATTGGATTTATGGTCTCACTCTGATGGTTATTCAAGTGTGATATGTTAGGAAATTCTAAGTGAATTTTGAATTTTAGGCCAAAATAGTTAAAAACCAATTTTTTTAAATAGCTGGCATCTTTGGTAGTTATAAAAGCTGGACTAGAGGGGTGTGCCAGTGTCGCCACCCGCACCGTAAAATGGGTGGTACGCTGCGGATAGGGGCGTACAGACGCACCAAGCTGACTGGCAGCGCCTTGACCAGCACCACTCTGCGGAGACCACAGCGAGAGCGCGGCTGAAATGCTGTCTGCATGGTCCTTGTGTCCTCTGCACACCACACGCTCAACTAATGATGTGCTGGTCAGGTACTGCTCCCGGGTATCCTGCAAAAATAATTGGGACAGGACACTGAAATGGGGATCGTTAAGAGGCCCGATTTCTAGCCTAAAATTGAAAGCCACATTAAATGATTATTCCTACCCTTTTTATGTATAACTTTTTTTGTTTCTTCTTAATTTAGAATGCCCTATAGGGCATTAGTAATTTGGTTCCCTCCCTTATAAACCAGTAAAATAAGCATAAACTTATGTGGAGTCTAGCGCCAGACAAAGCTTCCCTTGCAGGTTATTATACCCCGGCTAATGTCACTGTTTCTCTTTCTGTGGACAATTTTCACTTGCTCAGAGCACATGCGCACACTACAACCTAGGTAGGACTTGGGTGGTAGAATTTAAAAAAAAAAATATGGATGTCATAACAAATATAGAGAGGGCTCAAATGAGAGAAGGAGATTGAAACTTCCCCTACACGCAAGCTGTCCGCAAGGGTATAAGCTCATTACATCTACCATAACAGAGGAAATTATCCACCTATAGCACAGCGCTACAGAATTTGATGGTGCTATATAAATAGTAATAATTGCACAGAATTAAAGGACCACTCTAGGCACCCAGACCACCTCAGCTTAATGAAGTGGTCTGGGTGCCAGGTCCAGCTAGGATTAACCCATTTTTTTTATAAGCATAGCAGTTTCAGAGAAACTGCTATGTTTACAAATGGGTTAATCCTTCCCCTAAAGCCTCTAGCGGCTGTCTCATTGACAGCCGCTAGAGGCGCTTGCGTGATCCTCACTGTGAAAATCACAGTGAGAGCACGCAAGCGTCCATAGGAAAGCATTGATAATGCTTTCCTATACGACCGGCTGAATGTGCGCGCAGCGCGTGCGCATTCAGCCGACGGGGAGGATCGGAGGAGGAGAGCTCCCCGCCCAGTGCTGGAGAAAGGTAAGTTTTACCCTCTTTCCTCTCCCCAGAGTCTGGCGGGAGGGGGACCCTGAGGGTGGGGGCACCCTCAGGGCACTATAGTGCCAGGAAAATGAGTATGTTTTCCTGGCACTATAGTGGTCCTTTAAAATGATGCAGTCCGAAACAGAATTTTGTGGCAGGAGGTAAAAGTAGCCCTGAGAACAAAAGTCCAGAAACTCTGCACAATAGCATTCCTTCCTCCATGACCACTCCTAATAGCAGTGGTCATGGCGGTGGGAGTAACCCTTTAACGATTATTCACTAAACACCAGATTGCTAAAATTTAGGTAAGAAAGTTATGATTTGCATCAATTCTCCATCTCCATTATAGTTTTGCTTGGCTATTTGACTTGTATTCTCTGGTTTAATTCAATTTGGATTCTACAAATCACACTTCAGTGAATAACCATTTTATGTAAAATGTACTTTGCAATATTCCCTATAAGTGAAACTTGATTCTGGTTAGCATAGAGCATCAAGGCTCATTATGGTGCAAGCAGTGGCCTGGCCTCCCCACCATTGTAAGTAGTCGTATCATTTTAGGTCACTGTAACTTTGTATCTGTGTCCTGCTGAACGCCAGTCGCTGCCTTATCTCAGATTATAGTAAAACCAGAAGCTCTGGATTAGGAGCTTGGATTAACTCTCCTGAGCTAAGTCTTGTATTAGCTGAGAGCATCAGCTGAGCTTAGTTCAGAGAGCTTCGTGCTGGCCTGCAGAATTCAGTGGAGAGTAGATCAGAGGTTAAATATTATTATTATGTTATTTATAGAGAGCGCCATCAAATTCCGCAGCGCTTTACAATGGGTGGACGAACAAACATGTATTTTTAACCAGACAAGTTGGACACACAGGAACAGAGGAGTTGAGGGCCCTGCTCAATGAGCTTACATGCTAGAGGGAGTGGGGTAAAATGACACAAAAAGGTAAGGATAGTATTAGACTAGTGACAGTTGCAGAAGAGCAATCAGTCAGGAGCTATTAACAGTTTAACTGATAGGCTTTTATGAAGAAGTGGGTTTTTAACGATTTTTTGAAGGAGTGGAGACTGGGTCAGCATCTAACGGAGGAGGGAAGCGAGTTCCACAGGAACGGTGCAGCCCTCGAGAAATCTTGAAGGCGAGCATCAGAGGTGTGAGTACGGACAGAAGATAGATGTAAGTCTTCAGGAGAGCGTTGGGGCCTAGACAGGACATACTTGTGTATAAGGGAGGATAGATAGGTGGGAGCAGCATTATGTAGCGATTTGAAAGCAAGAACCAAAATTTTAAATTGAGCTCTATATTTTATAGGAAGCCAATGTAGGGACTGACAGAAGGGTGAGGCATGGGAGGTGCAGGTGGACAGGAAGATGAGCCTCGCTGACTCATTCGTTATGGACTGTAACGGCGCAAGTTGGGAGCACGTAAGACTACTGAGAAGCGGATTACAGTAGTCAAGGCGAGAAAGGACAGTGGAATGGACCAGCACCTCAGTCGCATCTGGCGTTAAGTAGGGGCGGACGCGAACAATGTTTTTGAGTTGGAAATGACAGGATTTGGCAATAGATTGAACATGAGGCTTGAAGGAGAGGTCGGAGTCAAAGAGAACACCTAGGCAGCCTGTGTGGTGGAGCTGATGGTAGCACCCTTGACTTGGAGGGAGATAGACAGACAGAAGTAACAACACTAGAGGGATGAAAGACCAGAATTTCAGTTTTGGTCAAGTTTAGTTTAAGGAAGTGGGCAGCCATCCAGTTAGAAATAGCAGAGAGGCAGTCAGAGACACTAGTCAAGAGGAACGTGAGAGATCAGGAGAGGACAGGTAGATTTGCATGTCATCCGCATAGAAATGATATTGGAAGCCAAAGAAGCTAATGGGTTTACCAAGGGAGGCAGTATACATGGAGAACAGTAGGGGACACCAACAGAGAGGAGTTGGGGAGAAGAAGTAGAGCCAGAGAAATAAACACTGAAAGAGCGCTGGGAGACGTAGGAGGAGCACCAGGAGAAAGCCGCAGGCAGGTCAAGGAGAATTAGGATAGAGTAGTGACCACAGATTTTGCAGCGAGTAGATCATTGGATACTTTGGTCAGTGCCGTTTCCACAGAGTGCTTAGCGTGGAAACCAGACAAATATGTGTTTATAATAGAATTTTGAATAATTTGTTTATATATTTCCCTAAAAAAAATGATATCATGAAATCAGAAAGGATGCTTTCTTATTTTTTATTAGGTTACCTGATGTTTCTGTGTCATCCTAAGTGTTTTTGCATCCTATATGGGCATATAAACATCACAAAGTGAAACATGAAATAGGCTTACTAGTGTAGCCACATCTTTTTTGGTATAGCATCAGTGAACCTTCTGATGCTTCGTGCAGCTCCTTCCCCCTTTCTCTATGATTATTGCCACAACTCTATCACCCCTTAATGGAACACTATATTGTCAGGGACATAAACATTTATTCCCGACACTCTAGTTGTAGAATAACAGTTTAGAGGCCCGCCCCCCTCTCTTTATTTTAAATGTGATTTTTACTTTTTATTTTATTTTTCTTCAGTGCTGCACCTGTCTAGACATGGCTGGGCCCGCCTCCATTGCTCAGATCATCAGATTTGACCATCTCGGCCAATCCAATGCTTTCCCATAGGAAAGCAATGGTAGGCTATTGTCCATGCATGGCAAAATGTCTCCATGCAGGGGTATTACTCTGAAGTAATGTAAACACTGCCTGCAGAGACATGTTATGGTCACCAGAACAATTGTTTAAGCTCTAGTTATTCTGATGACTAGTGTTCCTTTTAATAGTTCTTAAAAATAGGTACAGTGTGTTTCATGGCCCAGCCAGTAAATATTGTCCAAACTGGAAGGACCTCAGACCCTTCACAGAGCTAGGGCAATGTCAAATTGTTTCTCAGCAATTTGATAGGATACCCCGGGATGCACCATAGAACATCTAGAACCATAGCCACTTCAGCTTTCTGTAATGAATATGGTGCTTAGAGTCTATTTAATATGTAGATTACCTGTATGTGGAAAAGGTATGAGCAAGCTCCTTAAAGGTAGGATTGCCATATCCACCATGTTTTCTAGGACACCCATAATTTCATTGTGTTGATTGGCAGCTCGTGCGCTGCCTGTCTTATGGATAGTGTGTATGCTGCAGGAGTCCTGATTGATTTATCACCTGATTTACTACCTGCAGCATGTGACGTCTACATACTGCAGGGCCGCACAATCTGTATATTGCCCATCAATTTATTTAAATTATGGGTGGACATGGTATCCCTACTTAAAGGCTTACTTCAAGCACCATGACCACTTCAGTGATTAGGTCCAGCGAGGGGAGTGATGTCACTAAAGAAGGATCGGGCTGCAGGGAAAACTGGGTGTGGGATCACAGGTAAGTTTATCTTTCATTTTACTTTAGGCGAGGAAGGGGCCATGCCAGAAAGGCTTACTTCATCCAAAAACAGTGTTTTGTTTTTATTGTTGGAGTTACGCTTGAAGAGCACAGAGTCTTTATTTTTCTGTCTTCTTTACTGTATTTCATGTGCATATGTGATCCTGAATACCTCTCCCACCACTTGGATCACAAGGGTTTATTAACTAAATTGTTGAGAATCGTCATGGAAGTTGCACGTATTACACCAAAATATCCCAATTGGAAAAATTCTCCAAAACTGCTGTTTTCCCACAGCAACCATTTTGGCTTAATGTTTCTAATTCTATTGTCAATGTTCAATATTGTGAATAACTACAACTGTTATCAATGTCAGTTGTGTCCATGTTTGTATGGAGTTGATTGTCTGAATTCACCACCTGACATTCACAATCAGCAGCCAATGATGGGTTCAGAGCGTCAGTTGGTGCTCTCAGCCTTTCAAATGCCACCAAGGAAGACCTCCCCACCCAAGGAAAGAGAGATGAAGCAGTGCTGATGGGTACCGATTTAACACCTGAAGGTAAGACATCACTCAGAGACTCAAACTCCCATAACAACTTAGCCCCTTAAGGACCAAACTTCTGGAATAAAAGGGAATCGTGACATGTCACACATGTCATGTGTCCTTAAGGGGTTAAAGGGACACCATAGGCACCCAGACCACTTAATATCTTTTAATTGGTCTGGGTGCAATGTCCCTGACCCCTTAACCTTGCAATGTTAATTATTGCAGTAATTACATTGCAGGGTTAAGACTTTCACTAGTGAAGTCAATCAGACAGCCACTAGAGGCACTTCCTGCTTGCTAGCCAACTTTTGGTCATCTAACTGATGCTGGACATCCTCACACAATGCTTTGCTATAGGGAGGGCCTAATGCACTCTCTCCGCATGCACTTTAGCCCTTCCCTGTCGAGTGACATCAAAGGAGGTGGAGTACCGACCCAGCGCCAATGGAGATTGAAAGGGTTTTTAACCCTTACAGTGCAAGGTGGTGGGAGGGACCAGAGGGAGCTATAGTGCTAGCAATACAACTGTTTACTAGCACTATAGTATCCCATTAATTTGCTGACGTTATTTGGGCTTGTGTAATATGGGTGTGTTCCAGAGTAGCATTTTATAAGGCACAGAGACACCGACGATGTAGAAAGATTGAAATAAGTTATAGTGAAGGCTGCTTTTTATTCACTGGTGTTAAATATTACAAGGGAAACCCGGTTAGTGTCCCTTATACTAGAGATAAGTCTGACTGATGTCTCGTATATACAGTTATGAACATTCTTCAGTTGCTTTTGATCTCAGGCAAGCTTTGCGTTTTTTATTTTTATTTTATTTTTCTGCACATGCTGTATTTTACTTGTGATGTAAATTGATGGGAAGAAGGAAGAATCTTGCAATTTTTAGGGCCTTGACTAAAATGATATATATTTAAAGTTGGACTAATCCCTCAATATAGTATTTAATCTCACTGCTGCAGCCAAACTCATAAATAGGCTCCAAACATGTCTTTTCACAGTCCCCAATATTGAGCTGGCGAGATTTTGTTATCTCCCATGTCCTTGAGCAGATTAAAATGTCGAGCGAGTGTGCCTTTGCATGGCTGTAACGCGTGCCCTTTCAATGAGATTGCATTGGTAATGCAGGAAACCGTACCTATGCTCATTGGGGAACATCTTGCCTTTCGCATCCCTCTGTCACTCGCAGGTAGCGTGCACCGATGATTTAAGCTTTTTATTATCAGTCGTTCCACACTGTAACAGTTCCTCTGAACTGCATTGATTTTCTTTTTAACAGCAGATCCCTGTATGTGAAACCCATTCAGGAGCTAACTGATAACGTCCCAGTTTCCTAGCAACCAACCAAAACCTAACCTGCTCCTCTCAAGTGGCATCAAAATGAAAGTGTAGAGCTTTGGAGTTTTTTTTTAAGGTGAGTATGTGCGGTTTCACCATAAATGGGAAAGTGAAGCATTGATCTCAAACTATTGACATTTCGATTGTCAGAGAGATGTGCCATATATTGCACTGCCCTCTGGTACTCACAAAGTGATGATTTTATCCCTAGAGATTTTTTAATTTATTTGTAATGATCTCTTGACAATGCCTGCTTGCTTAGTTACTGTATCATGTTTGTAACAGTGCTGTCTTCCTTTAGAATGGCTGTGCCCTGTATCATTCTCCTAGTCAGTTTCATAGTGGATTCCATGGGAGTATCGATGGCATCATTGGTATGTATGTTCCCGGCTCCATCTCACATCTAAATGTTGGCCCTTTTACCCACAAAAAAACAATTGCCGTCAATTGACAAAATTGTATTTATTGTGTTGAAAGCAACAAACCGCACAAGAACATTCTACACTGAAAATGCATATTCAATTAATTTTATTTATTTTTTGGTAGTCCTCCATAAGGTATATGGTTACATGTAAACAAACATACGTCAATCTTTTCCTTCTGTCCTCTTTAATATACTTACCAAAATCTAATAGCACTCTTAAAGGTGCACTATAGGAACTGTGTCATCATCGTTTCCTCTGTCGGATTTTTTCTGTGGTTTCTAATCTCATCTGCGTGAAATAGAGAGAGTAGCCGCCCCAACTTATCTCAACAAGGCTAGTGCATGATCTAACAATGTTGATACAGCTATAATCACATCTGTACATTTTGCACAGTATTCATTTTTATCAACGCCAGATCTATTTTTGTATATAGGTAATGTCCTAGGTGCTTCAGTTTTAAGTTTAAAGGGTGACGTCAGTATTTTGTAGTGGTCATGGTGCAAGGACCTTGTATGTGTTGCGCAGCTGTTTGAAACGCTGTATATATCCAGATATTTCCAAGGTTATTCACTAAAGTGAGAATTACAGGGACGTCAAAGTGAATTTCAAATTTAAGGTGAAAATAGCTGAACCAGAAAAAATTCTCCCAGTATGCTACGCTTTCAGTTTGGTTACTTCGGCCTTCAATTTGAAATTCACTTTGAAGTCCCTGCAATTGTCACTTTAGGGAGTGAGCCTGTTAGGCTACCTGCCAGAGGTGTAGCTCCAATCCTGGAAGCATTATTAACAAACCTGGAACGAGATTGTCAGATTGGCTAATTTCAATTCTGTGAGCGTTCCTTACACAGACTTCATTCATTGGCTGAGAGTTCTCGGCTGATGCACTCGACCAATGAATGACTGGCAAGATGAGCAATATGACTTTTGCATTTTTTTTTTGTGTGAAATTTTGATTGTAATAGGGACCAGTTGCAAAATTAGTCGAAAGTCCAAAAACACGACCGATCAATTACTGATTCTGGATTCCTATGTAGGCCATAACTAGGCTACTGGTTCCAGCAGTGTTATCCATCAGGACAGGAGTTATTTTTTATATACAACTTTTCAGAAGGAATGTTTAAATGTAAAGCGTGTGCTACATTCCAGCATCGTAGAGGGCCAGTGGCATTTTTTTTTTTTTCTGGCTCAAACATCAAATATTGCATTGTATTTTAATTGAAAGCACAAAAGCATAGAGCTGGGTTTCTGGATCACGCTACAGTTGTTAACTGTTGATTTGTCTTCTTCTATGCCTCGGGCTCTTTAAGTGTAAATTTCCGTGTACATTTACTCGTGTGTCTTTAGGTATACGCTGGAAGGTGCCAAGGTGGGCTTTTCTCTCTGGCCTATTTTAATTTATTCTGCATTCTTGTCACAAGGAAAGAAAAACACATTTTTTACCTTTAGCACTAAATTACCTTGTCTAGAATAATAAATCACGGACATCCTTTGTCTGTTTTCCCCTCTTCAATTTCATTTTATCACTGCCTAAACTCTGTAAATAAAGTGATGAAAAACGAGCATCCCAAGAGACTCCCAAGGGCTCCTTATTTAAAACTTGAAATCCATGAAAGTGTCTTACAATCTGAGATGGGTCTGTAGTAAAACATGTCATTTACTGCCAAGGTAGATTTGTACACCTAAGGTTCCACCGTGGCAGGATACATAATAGGACTGATTGAAGTCTGTGCGTTAACGCTCTCCTTTAACAAAGGTAAAATGCTCTTGGATTTATGCCACTGCACATCTGATATATTACAGAGGCCTGACCTGGGTCAGGAACAAGATTCCTTTCACACAAAGACTTTCTTCGGTTGACAATTCTTTGTTAAGCTTTGCAAAATCATGTGACTTCTCATACAATGCTAAGGTAATTCGCCAGTGTTTGTCAAAAAGAGTTTTCTTAAAGGGATACCAATAGAAACCACACGTTCGATGCAATCTCTAGGTTGGTGTTATATTAGGTTAAAACATTTTGTCATGTTTAGCTTTTTATATTAGTAGTATCGTCCTCACTCTGCTGTGCTCCCCTACAGTTTTGTGGGGGTGTTTTTTGGTTTTTTTGGGGGGGGGGGTGTATGTGCTGTAATCTGTCCCTGTCTCCATTTTGGAGTTACTCTATATGTGTGAGAGGCTTTTCTGTGAGCTCAGGAATAGCGTATTCTATTTACCTAATTTACCAAGTTCAGTACACTGGGAGCTATTCATTCATGCTGTCAAAAAAGGACATTGAAAGATTCACCATATCTGAGCCTTGGAATTGTTTGAGTAGAACTACCTGACCAAATTATTTGCTGAGTAGCTTTCTTTATCTATTAAGAAAGTTGCTTATCACAGGAACAAAGTCAGAATAGATACCAGTAGCAACCACATTTTCAGTGCTATATCTATTATTTTGGGATCCAGATTGTGATGTGTCCTTAAGGGGCTAAAAGAAAACACTTGATTATTGGTAGTGGAATTCAATGGTTAATGCCTGCAGTATACTGGTGTGATTACAAATGATTTGGACTACTAGATAAATGGACCTTGAAAGAAAAGTGTGGGAAAAGTCTGCAGCTACTGTAAGATCTCCTGGGAAACCAAACTTTCAATCTGTGTCCTGTGACTCTTACAATTAATACATCGGCATCAATCAGGTTCTGCAGCAGCTGAACTCTGACAGTCACAATAAATCCGGTTGGAAAACTGGGCACAAACTTTATCAAACACCACCTACCAGCAGCTGTCAGGTAACTTCGGTTAAAATGTCCAGTGCACTGCAAAACGACATACAATTAGAAGATCCAGTAACCTCATTATGGCAGTCAGTATGATACGGTGTTTTGAAAGTGGTTTATGATTGTTGTTCGGTGGACCAACAGTTAAAATTGTGGAGTTTTGTTGTTGTTGTTTTTTTTTTTTTTACTTTTAATGCTTGGTAGGAGCACCATAGTAGTAGTGCCCAGGTTTCATACACTGGCAGGTAACCCTCTATTTGTATCCGTAGACTACTCTGTCTGTCTACTTGGGATTTTCCAGTATAGTGGACCTTATTTTGAACCCTGTGTATCTTACGATTCTGTTTTTAGCTAAATATATATTTGCAGATTAATACAGGTTATATATTCTATTTTGTTAGAGGCAGGACTCCTATTTTGAATTTTTATTTTCCCCTTCCAGGCTTGGATGTCCGAATGCTGCAGTGAGAAGCTGGAATTAAATATTTCCTGTCTGTTGGCTTATAGATGCAGTCCAGGTAAAAAAAAAAATTCACAACCGTAACAATTCGTTTTTTGCCTTTACTTTCAAAGATAACAGACCTAGTTCTGTCTAGAAGAGGCTTATATTCTAGGAAGAAAAAAAAGATTTACTTGTTAGAAAAACACTACAGATGCATGTTACCAGGTCTTTGCTCCATAAGTTACACAAAGAGATTAACCCCTTAAGGACCAAACTTCTGGAATAAAAGGGAATCCTGACATCACACGTCATGTGTCTTTAAGGGGTTAAAGGTTCACTCTGCAAACTAAAGAAAAGCTCTATGAAACTTTACAAATGTAGAGAGATATCTCCACCACAGGAGTTCCAGGCTAGCTAATGTCAGTTCTGTGCATATTGAATGTCTGTTGCCAGTACGCACAGTATGCATGTGTCGTCCTCTCAGGGACCAGAATTGTAAAGGTTACTCTGACCCAAAAAATATTTTATTTCCATTAAAGGGTTCATTCAACCAAAAACAATGGTTTAAGTTATGGTAGTAAGAGTGTCCCTTTTTAAATCTGATTTATGTTTGGAATCCACTGGGTTTGCAGCATCTGCTAAAACAAAGTATCCTTCTCCAGTTTAATTTCTAAGCCAGTGTACATTTTAGTGAGTCCGTTATGCACTCCGTCAATAAACCTCTTCCCAGTCACTTCAATAAAATTACAATTTAGGCAAATTAATATATATATTATCCATTTTTCTAAACTTGCACATATTTGTATTGTTGCCCTTATAATATTGTCTTTAAATCCTTGACTTGTCTTCTGAAGATAATTATGACCAGTTTGTGTAAGGCCAACAATGTGATTATTCTAAAGTAGACATTATTTGCCACAAGATGTCACAGGTGACCTTTCTTTGACTGTTTCTGCTTAACCAGGATGTTATCGACTCGATGATGGGAAAAGCACCTGCATTGTTTGCAAAAATGAAACTAGCATGAACACACAAATTGCACACAATATGTCTGAATGCTTAAATAGTAAGTATCTTTTTATTTTTAACATTGTGATTGTTTGTTTAAAGATTGCTTCGCTAGTTGAAGTGAAATATATTCTCTGTCTTGGCTTTCAATATACTGTGATCTTAGATTTTAGAAAATAAGTAGGTTCATCATAAAGTATGTAATAAAATAGTGAATAGTCTATTTTGTCAGTGAGACACTGACCTTTTGATAGTAAAGTTGATGTGCCTACCTAATTAAACTTCAAATATCCTTTTTTTTTTTTTTTTTTTTGTACCTTTCAAGGTTTAAGTGTTTCAAGTCTATTTTCTGTAAGGTCATCATATTTCGTTTCAAGCATTAATCATGCATGACAGGTTTATGGATTTTCATTATTTTAATTTTCTTTTTTAGACTTTGCTGTATTTTGCTTCATTATGTTTTGCTGTAGGGATGAATATGTTGTCCTTAATGCTAAATAATGTTGAAGGCTGAGGGACACTTTGTGACTATTAGTCCCTGTTAAAATTAATTGCCATCCATGAAAGATGGTTTTATGATGTAAACATTTACTGGAGAATTTGCGAGCAGAATGCAGACATGATTTCTATGCGCTATCATTGGTTGCTAACCCACTCCACTGCATCTTATCTGATTGCAGAAGCAAACACACTGCAATTGCCTCTGATTATTGTAGCCCAATAGTTGGTTAATGCATAGGTAAAAAAAAACATTATTTTTGTCAAGAATATAAGGGGAATGAGCACCTACAGCAGTGGTGCCCAAAAGGTAGATCCCTAATACTACAGCTTCCATGATGCTCTGTCATTCTAAAGGCATGCAAAGGCATCATGGGAGTTGTAGTTCTACAACATCTGGGGATCTGTCTTTTGGGCACCCCTGACCTAGATACTTATCTGCACCAGCCACAAATGTTAGGGGGGCATCCCATATATCTATGCATGCATTCACAAACTAAGGATTGTGACACTTGTCATTTGAAGACAAATAATGGCTGCACCAGTTGCTCTCCAGGACATTGCTGGATGAGTTGGTATATTTATGATCAGTTAAATTTCCTGACAATTTTGCCAGCCCACTGAATAGTTTAAATTTACATTTAACGAAGAAGAATGTGTTACTCCGTAAGTATGTGGAGTTTGTAGTTTGACTCCCTTATATGGTTTTATCAGAACTTGACCATGGGTCTTGTACTTTTGTTTGTTTTTTTTCTTTGTACAAAGTAGATAACTAACTAGGTTAACTATAAGTTAGATTGTTTTTTTTTTCTTAAATGGAAATGGTGAAGGACCATACCATGCAAATGAATATAACCCACAAAGCATGTTTATCTGCTGTTCCAATGCTTTGCTCAGTATGTGCTTCAGTAGCATTTTCTTTGGGAGGAGAATGAGTAACTTAAATTTTTTTCAGGTGATATTTATGAAAAATTTTTAGGTTCTTGCATATTGCAAGAACCTAAATCATTACCTCTACATTTAAACCAGATACACACGTAAGAAAACTCCTATATCTTATAATGTGATGGAAGGGGGTATATTTGGCAAAGTAGGAGATCATTTATAGACTTAAATTGACATTATAGGCACCCAGATGACTTAAGCTCATTGAAATGATCTGAGTGCACTGTCCCTGTTAACTTAACCCTGCAATCTCCTGATTGCACTGGGTGCAGGGACTGTGGAAGAGGCAAAGATGAAGCCAGCGCTGGAATAAGGTGAGTGTAAAAAGGTGGGGTTTTTTTGTTTTGTTTTTTAAACCCCTTATTTGCCGGTGGGAGGGGGTGGGCAGAGGGACACTTTAGTGCTAGGAATACAGCTTTGTATTCCTTTAATCTGGTAATGAAGCGTGTAGCCATATTGTTGTGCTGGTGATGTAACATAAAGCTGGCCCATCTCCCTGGAACCAGACTCTCCTTAAGTGCAATCAATCTTTAACTTGCACAGAAATCTGCAAAACACTATCCGCTTCTGCCTGTTATAGAAAATGTAAAGAATTAGTTTACCACAACTACCTGCCCACGCTAAAATATTCTCATATTGTGAAGCCGGTGATGATTCTTAGTAAATTGTTTTTAAAAACTGCAGAGTAGTTAATAAACTGTCTTGCTTAATTTTTGTTGTTCGAATGCGTGCAGTGAGTCACCTCTGCGTTGTTCTGGCATTCAGCTTGCACATAGGAAAGCTGTATTTTTGGGCATGTGTCAAGAAGTATTAACAGACTAGTGTATGACATGGCATCTTAAGCTACCTCTTAATCCACACACATCATAATTGACAAAATCTTCTTTGGACACATATTAGAAAAAACCCGAAACCAAGCTACACCGCATCGAGACATAATTGACACTGTATTTGAGATTTGGCATTTATGTGCATAAAATATCAAACTGCTTGCACTATTGACCTGAGAAGTGGTTTGTTATCTCATAGCTTTCAGATTTCCTAGAAACTTTAAAAAGTCCAATTATTATTTTGGATGTCTTCTGACATTTAAAAGCAGTCTATGGGTTTTAATAAGATTAATATTTAGGAGACATGCCCCCACTCACTAGCCATGGGGCTAGTTATAAAAAAGCTTTTATGCCTCTGCCTTTCCCCCAATTCATGTTGCAAGGGCATTTTTGCTAAATAGCAAGTAGCCCTTATTGCAGCTTTGTCACTAGTAAGTTATTAATTACATCCCCCCATCCTCGCTGTGGCCCAAAGGTGGGGTTAATTTTTGTTTTAAAAAAAACAGTATAATAAAGCAAGGGGGAGGGGCACTATGTCTTACAGTGGGGCTCCCTATATGTTTTCTGGGTTGCACATGTCTCCCTTGTGCCCCAGCTGCAGGCATCGGGTGGTGTCTCTAATAATGATACAAGGAGGGAGACCTAAAGTTCCCACACTATGAAATCTCAGTCAAAGCGCTTGTAAGCTTATCAATCATTAGCTCTGCTTTATAAGGGCTTTTTCCACAATACGAGCTCAGTGTGCTGAGGCCCCAACATGGGGCAAAATTGGATTAATGTTATTGTTTGTGGGTCTAGAAGAAATAAGACTTGTTATGGTAAGTATTCTTTATTTATTTATTTATTACAGAATTATTCAAATATTTAGAGCCCGTGGCTGGGGGACATTAAGTAATGCTTAATTATTTGAGTCAGATATGCCAATGGATGGTGGCTATGGGGCACTAGTCCTCTCTCCCCCATCCCTGTATGATTTTTCACAACCTCCTTTAGAAAGAAGACAAGGGTGGAACATTAGCATCTTTTATTTTGAATTGCTAGCCCTGACCCACTGGCCAGAGGTGGAAGCAGGGGGTTGGACAGCCCAAGGGATTCATAACACTATACCCACTTCAGTGAACTGAAACACTTACAGTGACTACAGTGTCCCTTTAAAAACATATTATTAGGCAGTTTGAGGAAAACATTTAACTCATTTGAATCTGGTTCCTCTTGTAATAACCATGAAAAGCATCAATAGAGTTTTATAGGAAGCTATAACAGATCATTTGTTTTGGGTGTTTTTTTTGGTTGGGGAAGAAGGGGGTTATAAAAAAAAAATATCCATACGTAGTGAAACCTGTCTTCTTTGTTGCTTAAACCATGTAGACGGCCTGTTCCTTTCATGTAACTTATGTAAAACCAGTGACACATATTCACACCTTTTTAACCTTGTAACAGTTCTAATATAATTAAGAAAGCCTACATGCGACCGAGCCAGGGAACCACGATAGTTAACTAAAAAAAAGCCTGTTTTGTAATACCTGACATTAGATCATTTAGGTGTAGAATAGGGCTTGTCAAAGGGGGACTGGGAATACAAAGAAGCCCTGGAAAAAGCAGCCCCATAATTTGGGTCAAATAGTGTGTGTGTGTGTGTGTGTGTGTGTGTGTGTGCTTGTATGTATGTATGTATGTATGTCTAATTATTATTATTTATTTTGACCAGTTCTCTTTAATGTACAAAAATTCCCAAGGCACTAATATATGATTTATCATAGTGATAGATCAATATAGTTATGTACTTTGGCAGCTGTTATATTATTACTTACCTGCAGCTCCTCGCTCCAGACAATCTATGAGTGCTACACTGCTGTACCTACCCTCCTATATAAAGTTATTGGTCCTGCTTAGGGACACTTCTCTGAGCAGGGCAATCCTCCATGCTCATTTGGAAAATATAATAATAATAATAAAAAATATATATCACTCCAGGGACTAGATAATATGGTGAAAAAAACTTTTTTTTTTCAGCAAGATGCCACAGTTATCAACGTGTCAGGATCCTTTTTTTCACCATATTATAGGATCATGACGAAAGTTCTGTACTGGAACTGAAACGTTGATCACTGTGGCCTCTTGCTGAATAAAAGCTAAGTTTTTTTCCCACCATATTATCTAGTTCTTGGAGTGCTATCTTTCTATAGACTGTTATAATTTTTGCTGACAAGCACCGGGCACTTACTCTATCTGCAGGAGTGCAAGTATTGGAGATAGAGAGAGAGAGAGAGAGAGAGAGAGAGAGAGAGATATTATTCCCCGTGAATTAATCACACAAACTCACTGACATACACAGAAATGCTCACTAGCACACACACAAATGTACTGCAGACAAACTCTCTAACACAGACAAGTTGACTACAGACCAACTCACTGAAACATACAGAAGCTCCCTGACACACACATACACACGCACAAGCTCACTACAGACTAGCTCACGGAAACCCACAAGCTCTCTGCAGACAAGCTCACTGACTCACACAAGCTCACTAGACACAAGCTCACTACATTTATGCTCACTGATACCCACACAATCACTATCAGTTATTAGCAGCTAAACACACATACAAGTACCTGTCATTGGCAGTGGAGATTCTCAGGGCAGCATGATGTTTCTTCATCCAGTATATCTCTTCCTATGTGAAAGGTCTGACTCTGGGTGGAGCTCCAGTGCGGGGGTGGGCTCCTGTGGCCATGCTGAGCTGGGAGCATGTGTGAGTGAAACTTGGTGATTCCTCACTCCTCCTCTGCCAGTTATTCTGCTGCTTGCAGCCTCAAAGCAGCCACTTAGTAAAGTCCACCAGCCCCTCTACACACAGTAAAAATAAAGTTTATAAATGTTTTTTATGTAGAATGCTGCACTGTCCAGCCCCCACATACCTCGGCCCACTTCGAAATTTCCCAGTATCCTGGTGGGCCAGTCCGGCCCTGGGGGCACTTGGGAATTTTATTTGCAGTAGTTTAGAAACACATAAATATTCTTTCTCTGGAGGTGTGGATAGTAAACCAAAACATTTGAAAAATTACTAGAGCATCTAGACCAGGGGTAGGCAACTTTTTAGCAGCACTGTGCCGATGTAGGATTGTGATGTCCCGCAGCGTGCCGATCCTATTTTTTTTAAATTGAGGTGTGTATGCTGCCGTATTCTGCTTGTTATTTTTACTGTAATTGCTTTGTATCGTTGTAGTTATGCGTATATGAGCTATTATATTGTATATGTTCATTAGTAGTTTATGGTATCGTGTATGATACATATGTATGGGGGCTGCTTGTGGAATTGTGTGTGGATGGATATGTCACATTGTGTGTTTGGTAGTGTGTTTGGGCTGTTTGGGGTATTGCATGTGGGGTTGTGTGCATGTATGTGGATTGTTAGTGGTGTTGCGTTTGTGGGGATTGTGTGTATGTTTGTGTGTGGACTGTTTGTATTATTTGTATGAGGGGAGGCTTATTCTGTAGGTCTGTGTATATCTAGCAGTGTGGGTGGCTTCCCTGGGTTCCAGTGGGGACCAGGCTGGCCAGGTACAGGTCAAGTACAGGAGCTGCAACAGCAACTGCAGGCTGCTTTACTACAGTGTGGATTCCCATTCACAAATCTGAAATCACTTACTCTATGTTCTGCAATGCATAAATTGAGGATTGTCCTTTACCACCTTTTCGTATTAGCAGATATCTGAAGTTTCACTGAGACTCCTGATAGGCCAGAGCCTGTTTGGCTCTAGCAGCCTTGAGTGCCGTGGAAAGACACCTCGAGTTCTGTGCATGGCACTAGTGCCGTAGGTTGCCTACCCCTGATCTAGACTTATCAAAATATGGGTTTGGTCTGAAATCTGCCCTATTTCATCAGGTTTTGCACATGCCCAGTGTCCTTTTAAAAAGGAATTTCAGTAATTTCTATTAAGTTGCCATTCATACAGCAGAGCTAGCTGTCCATGAGTGTAGGCATTCTTATTGACCTCTCTATTAAGGGGCGATCATTGGTTTATAGCACTAGGGGGCAGAGTTACAGTGCCCACAGGAGAGAGAAGCAAGAAGCCCACTTGGAATGAACACAAAGCGAAGCAGCAGTTCCTGACCCCTGCCAAATGTAAGTGTATAATCTTATCTTTTTCTCAAGGCCAATAGTCCTAGTGACTGCCTGAGGGCTAATTAAGTTAGGGAATCTAATCAAATCTATACACTTCCCAAAACTGGGCAATCCTCCATGCTCATGCTGACATTATATACATTATTTACATTATCAATATTAATTATATTTTCAGCTGCAAAGATAAGGAGTCTTATCAGTATCCTGCTGCTTTAACTCTGTGTGCTGAAAGCCAATAGTGAATCAGGAGTAGCTGAAATGTTTGGAGTCTCAGTATCTTGATACTTTAATCATGTGCACACTGTGCTGAAGGCTAATGGAGCAGCTGACTAGTTTCATAATGGCAGTAATATTCAACCATTTCCCTGATGTTGGGGAGTGCTATGCCATCCTACAAAATTAAAGCTTTAATGACATTAGGGCCGTATCGCACGCACAAACGATCGAGCCCTCCCTCCCGGCTGGAATATGATAACCCACGGCGTCCCACTGGTGCCAATCTAAACAATCAGTCATGTGACCTTGACAACGTGGTTTCATGAGTGATAAGCTGGATAGCAAGATTGGCTTGCTGGGTTGTAACTAACTAATAAAAATTAATATTATTATAAATACATTTAGTGTGTGTGTGTGTGTGTGTGTGTGTGTATGTCCGTGTCAAAATATATAATGATATTATTTTCTTATTGGGGACCTGCCTGACAACACAGGCAGAAAAGAAATACCAGAGAATTGAAATTTGCTATATTTGACCCTGTAACTTCCAAACCTCATGAAACCTATGCATGGGACGGGTACTGTTGAACTCGTTTGACATCGCTAAACACAAATAGAGATGTGTCTGTCAACTACTCCAAATATGAGTGTTTTAGAGCAGTGAAAGCTATAATGACCATCAGGGCCGTCTTTAATAACGAATGGACCCTGGGCAAGTGTTTGCTTGGGCCCCCTGTGCCCTGCCGCTCTCTCCCCTCACTCCCTGGTATGCAATCACGGCATCCATCCCAACGCAGTGGCGGTACTAAAGTAGAATGAATTTTATTGGGACCCCCAATTGCAAGGTTGGACTAAAGGTAGAACCCCATCTGTCGTGCAACTCCAACAATGCTTTGACAGCTGGGACTCTACCAATTTCCCATGCTTGCAGGGTTGTATTTAGCACTGAGCCATGTTTGTATGTTTGAATGTAAGCATGTGTTTGTATGGAGTATGTTTGTGTGAATGTGTTTGTATGTGGTACTGGAGTTTGAATGCAAGTGTGCATTTATGTGTAGTGTTTGTTTTTGAATGTAGGAGTGTGCTTGTATGTAGTGTTGATGTTTCAATGCAGGAGTGTGTTTTATATGTAGTGTTGAAGTTTGAATGGAGGGTGTATTTGTATTTAAAGTTGCGGCTCAGATGCACAGGTACACACTCTGACGCACAAGCAGATACACAGATACATACACTGACTACATACAGATAAACAGGCACATACACTGACAGACACACTGACACAGGTACATATATTGACACACACACAGACACATACACTGGTAGACGTACTGACAGACATACTGACACAGGCACATATACAGACATACTGACACACAGACACATATACCGACATACTGACACACACACACAGACACATACACTGATCAACATACTGACACACATACACTGACAGAAATACTACTGACACCCACATACACTGAAAAATACTGACACACACAGACTGATATACTGACACACACACAGACATACTGACACACAGACATACTGGCACACAGACAGATATACTGACACATGCATACACATGCACTAACAGACATACTGACGCACTGACAGACATACTGACACATACACATACTGATACACACATATATACTGACACACAGACAGACATACTGACACACACACACACACCGACATACTGACACCCACACACACACTAACACAAACACATACATAACACACAATACACCACACCATACATACACTAACACACACATACACAACACACACACTAACACACACATACACACACACACAAACAAACACACACACAAACACATACACTAACACACAAACACACACATACACAAACACACACACTAACACACACATACACTAACACACACACATACACTAACACACAAACACATACACTAACACACACATACACACAAACACACATTTTTTTTTAAATGTAATCCCCCCAGCCTCCTTACCTTTTGGAGTGCTGGGGGGATTCCCTGGGGTCCAGTGGTGCTGCTGGGCTCCTGGGCGGGTGGCCGGTCGGGCAGGAAGGCGGGCGCGCGAGGGAGCACTCACTGCTTCCTCTTCAGCTCCCTCGCGCGCCGCGTAGGGATGCCAGCGCCGGAAGATGACTTCATCTTCCGGCTCCGGTATCAGTGCGGTGCGCGAGGGAGCTGAAGAGGAAGCACTGAGTGCTCCCTCGCGCGCCCGCCTTCCTGCCCGACCGGCCACCCGCCCAGGAGCCCAGCAGCAGGGCCAGCCTCGGGGGGGACCTGAGGTGGCCGCCTCCTGGGCCCCCCAGGGGAAGACGCTGGCCCTGTGGGTGCATACCAGGGTCGCAGCCGCAACCCTGGTATGTACGCCACTGCCCTAAGTGCATGGGCCACCCGGTGGGACTCAGAGGATGGGGAAAAAAAATACATTGATGAGGGCAGCGGGGCCCACGGGGCAGGTGCCTCGGGCCCCCCAAGAGAAACTGGGCCCGGGGCAGCCGCCCCGTTTGCCCCACGTTAAAGACGGCCCTGATGACCATTCTATCATCAGTGAAAGTGCAGTTTTCTGTGTACAAAATGCAAAACACAAATATAAACCCTAACTTTGGCCAGGGTTTGTGAGTAAGGGGCTGCTTAAAAAGACTGGACATACCCCACGGGCTGTCACTTCCTCCCATCGCTGACATCATTAGAGGGGCCCAGTTGCACTATTAAAGGGCCAGAAGACACATTACTATACTAAAGGTCATGGGCCACCCGATGGTCCCCCTCAGCACAAGCAGTAATAGCTCTATCGGATTTATAGATATCTTTATGTTGTTCCCAATCTAGGGTGGCACTATCCAGGGGTTGGTAAAAAAAAAATGACGCCCACAAATGCCCTCTCAGAAGTCCCCATTTTTTTGTTGTTGTTGTTTTTTTTTCTCCTGTTATAGGCAGGGTCCAAGAGCTGACCTAAAGAGGAAGGGGTGGGTCTTGACCAGAAGGGGTGGGGTGAATTTAGATTAGGAGGTGCCCATATTTACTCATGCCTTGGACAGCACAAAAACTAAAATACACCACTGTTTGTGCCCTGCTTTATTTATTGTATAAGCATCTCCACATTATGCTTGGCTCTCTGTATTATGAGTATCTCTGTATAGTATAATGGTGTCATAGAAGGAGCGGTCAATAGGTTTGCAGAAGCTTGTTAGTGGGAATACAAATGCATAAGGCATTACTTTTAGGGATGCCCTGAAATTTCGTCTGCCCAAATTTTGCCAATATTATTGCAGAATAAATATAAATATAACAGTCTTATAGAAAGATAGCGCTCCAGGGACTTTGTAATAAAGTTGAAAAAACGTAGCTCTTATTCAGGCAACTGCCACAGTGGATCAACGTTTCAGTTCTGTATCAGAACTTTCGTCTGGGTCCTGACGAAAGTTCTGATACAGAACTGAAACGTTGATCCACTGTATCTTTCTATAAGACTGTTATAATTTTGCTGATAAGCACCGGGCTCTCTATTTACTATCACTGGAGTGCAAGCATTTGGATAATATGTGTGTGTATGTATTTTTATTTTTGTAGTGCATAGTTTAACAGACATGCTTGCATTAACAATTCAGATAATTATAAATCACAATGAAAGGTAGTAATGATAACATGAAAAGTCAAGAGTACTGCACTTAGAACACGGGGGCTGGAAGAACACTAGAGGAGGGAGAGAGGAATATTAAGGGGGGGACCACTAAAAGAGAAGGGAAGTTTTTCATATTAGAGTAATTAAATTCATTAAAAAGTCTAATATTAATAAAATTATAGGAAAAAAACTTTTTAAAAATCATTTGGGGGAAAAAAGTCCGTTTCGGTTTTCGCCAAGGGCACAGAATTTTCATTTCGGTGTATCGCTAATTACTTTCATTCCACATTATTGTTAATAAATATCTTCTAGCTTAAACTCTCAGACTATTAAAATTTATGCCAGTGGTTCCCAAACGTGTTAGGTTCATGGCAAACTAATTATTTTCACAAGGCACCCCAAGTCAAAAATTTTTTTAGGTTGTATATATGTACTGTGCAGTGGAATATACTGGGCCTCAATTTGGCAGAAATGCTTGCCGTTTTTAAGCGCAGATCCATAACCTAATCTTGGGAGGCGAACTGGTAAATTATTTAAAGAAACAATCCAGGCACAATAACCACTACAGCACTTTGTAGTGGTTATAGTGCCGTAGTGCCCTCCCAGAGTAAGTAGTTAAACTGTTTAAGTACAGTTTGACTACTTACCTGGGATCTGCTGGTATACAGGATGTAGAAGGGGATAGGGACAGTAGTGTGTTTGTGTGTGTGTGTGTGTGTGTGTGTGGAGTGCAATATGTGTGAGTGGTTGAGTGTGTGTTGGGCAGGTTGTGTGAAGGGGGCAATTGTGTGTGTGTGTGTGGCAATTGTGTATATGGGGGGTAGTGTGTGTGTGTGTGTGTGTGTGAGGGGTGCAGGTTGTATGTGGGGGGCAGGGTGTGTGGTGCGGGGTCTGGTGTGGGTGGGAAAATGTTATAAATATATCATTTTTATTTATTTTTTAATTAAAAATAATACTTTTCATATCCCCCTACCTGCTTACCTTTGCCTGGGAGGGGGGGACCTTTCCTGCAATCCCTGGTGCTCCGGTGGGCAAGCCCTGGTGGTCCCAGTGGTGAGAGTGAACTCTAGCAGCCTCAGTTCACTACCCTCCGAGCTCGCTAGAGGAAAACATGGTGAAGCTACAGGTTAGAGCTCCCCCGGGTCCTCTCTCTCTCTCCCTCTCCCTCTCCCGCCGGCTGCGAGCAGTACACTGCGAGTGGGCTGGAGAGTGAGATCTCTGATCTCTCCTCCAGTCCTGCAGAGCATGTCGGGGAGAAGGAGGCACGGTTCCTGGTGCACTGATCATAGGATCATAGCACTGAGAAAATATCTTGCGGCACCCCTGTGTGCCCGTCACACAGTTTGGGAACCGCTGACTTATGCATTTCATTTAGCATTAAAGAGGCATTCTAAACGGCCACTTGGGTTAGGTTTCAAAAGTTTTGATCCATATACCCAACCTTTCTGTCCCTCCCTCTCTATAATGTTCTGTACAACTTCCTTTGAACAAAAAGAGACAAGTGAATACATTTTGCTTCCATTTAGCAGTCATTAGTTAAACCTTTCATTCTTACTTAAAATGTGTCAACTCCCAGGATTGAACTGTTTATTTGTTTTTTTATTTGTCAATTTTCCCTTTTTCCAGCCAGCTCTCGGACTACAGACGTGCATATGAATATTAGCACAACCCAATCTGTACCTCACAACTTAAGTAAGTGACCTAGTTTTGGTTTCTAGAACATGCTGAACTTGGTTTTAATTATTGTTTTAACCTTATATTGTATTACATTTCAATCATTTTGGTATAAATTGTCAGCTTTAAATATGTACTTACTTGTAATTGGGGACAGACAGAATATCGGTTCTGACGATTATTAGAGTCGATGTTCATTTTACTGATAATCGGTATCGGCCCTGTAATTTACCGCTAACTTACTCACCTTTCCCAGTCACCAAGCCCTGTCTTCTGTATCCGGAAACGCTAGTCGCCCGCTAAATAAGCACAACGTCGTGACCTTCCATCATCCCATTCTGTGAGTCCCTGCATGCAGAGCTCAGCTGAAGCCAAGGAGGGGAGACGGTGAATAATCTACTATAATGTACTAGGCTGGCTTACAGAGTGATAGGAGTGTGATTTCTGTCTGCAATCAAACTCCTGTACATGCAGGGATCCCACTGATCCCAGCATGTACTCACTGATTGCTATCAGCATGTTTAGTTAAAGCCAGAATTGTGTAAATACAAAACGGTAAATGTACAGAATATCAGCACCAGTTATCAGCAATCAACCCGAAAGAAGACCGATATCAGCATTGGCTCTGAAAAATGATATTGGTGGACTCCTACTTATCATTATATATAAATACATAAATCAAGTAGTCTGGCTACGGGTTTTGATACTTGAAATTTGAGTTTGTAGGAAAATATATTGACTTAAAGTGTAATTTTTTTTTCACTTTGCATAATAAACATCTTTACTTAATTCTTCTTATATACTGTATTACTGCTTTGCTAATGTCTCGCATATTGGTATTGTGTAAATAAAGTCCTTTTTCGGGAGGTCCTTTTAGGAAACAAAAATCCTCCTAACTTTAAAAAATTGCCTTTTTTGTTTTATTTGTGTATTTTTTGTTTGGTTTTTTTTGGGGGGAGGGGGGGAGATAAACTCTTCCTTCCCTTGTAGCATTTGGTTAGCCCCTGTGTAAGGCAATCCTTCCCTTGTAGCATTTGGTTAGCCCCTGTGTAAGGCAATCCTTCCCTTGTAGCATTTGGTTAGCCCCTGTGTAAGGCAATCCTTCACTTGTAGCATTTGGTTAGCCCCTGTGTAAGGCAATCCTTCCCTTGTAGCATTTGGTTAGCCCCTGTGTAAGGCAATCTTTCCCTTGTAGCATTTGGTTAGCCCCTGTGTAAGGCAATCCTTCCCTTGTAGCATTTGGTTAGCCCCTGTGTAAGGCAATCCTTCCCTTGTAGCATTTGGTTAGCCCCTGTGTAAGGCAATCCTTCCCTTGTAGCATTTGGTTAGCCCCTGTGTAAGGCAATCCTTCCCTTGTAGCATTTGGTTAGCCCCTGTGTAAGGCAATCCTTCCCTTGTAGCATTTGGTTAGCCCCCGTTTAAGGCAATCTTTCCCTTGTAGCATTTGGTTAGCCCCTGTGTAAGGCAATCCTTCCCTTGTAGCATTTGGTTAGCCCCTGTGTAAGGCAATCCTTCCCTTGTAGCATTTGGTTAGCCCCCGTTTAAGGCAATCTTTCCCTTGTAGCATTTGGTTAGCCCCCGTTTAAGGCAATCCTTCCCTTGTAGCATTTGGTTAGCCCCTGTGTAAGATATTTTATCTTTCACACTTGTGCATTAGTGAGTTCTTAAGAAAAGTTCTGTGTACTTTTGAAAGCCGTTTAACTCTTAACTTCTTTTGCTATTTTCAGGCAGCCCGGGGATTGCCGCCTCTCTTCTGCTGGGCACACTCTTAATCAGCCTATTCTTAGTTCTGTCTGTAGCCTCATTTTTTTACCTTAAGCGTTCACAGAAACTACCAGAAATCTTCTATAGACGAAATAAAGGTCTGCACTTTATTGTTGTATGCTGCAGTAACATTTATTTGATTTATTAGATGTCATTATATAACAAAGCATTTGGTTTACACATTTCATCTGTATTGATTGCAATTTGACATAATCCCGGCAAACACAATGCAAATAACTATTTTTGCACTCCTGTGTTATTTCGTTTTTACATGGCTCTGTATCCCTCAGTCACTTGGGGTTTATACACCAAGATCTATTTAAAATGTAAAACTTATGAAAAAAGTGCGATTTGGCAAAACAACAACTCTATGAAACCGCTATATTAACAGATTGTGTACTTTGCCTAACCAGGCCTACCTAGTATGTATATATTACACACAATTGGCCATGCATAAAAAAATGTTTCTTCCCAACGCAGTGACATCATCCAAGCTGCAAAAAACATTAGCTTATAGATTTTTTTTTTTTTTTTCTTCAATCAGTTGCCAGCATATTCTCTTCGATGTGCACTGTGTAACGCTCTTTATTTATATGTAATGTGCTTGTTCACATTAAAAGAAAAACCTGCATTAAAATGAATTCCCAACAGTCTATATCTCCCTTACACACCATATATTTTTGGACAAGTCACTGCCATGAAATAGATCTTTATACCCCTGTAGCAAAATGTTTTTTTTTTTGTTTTTTTGTTTTTTTTTAATCCCCAGCTTCATTTGTGGTAATTTTTGGGGGATTGCGTAGCTTCCTATTTATTAGTATAGTGTATTATATATTGACTGAACCATTACGAATGGAAATAACTGTTTTATTTCTTTTCTCTCTCTCTCTCTCTCTCTCTCTCTCTCTGTCTCTGTCTCTGTCTCTGTCTCTGTCTCTGTCTCTGTCTCTGTCTCTGTCTCTGTCTCTGTCTCTGTCTCTGTCTCTCTCTCTCTCTCTCTCTCTCTTTGTCTCTCTCTCAGCATCCATTCTGCAGCCCAGTGAAATGGTAAGCCATTCTTTCTAAATACAATTCTCTGTCTGCTGCACATGGTCTAAACACATGATTGAAAAAAAACCTTTGGACTGTCGTTGTCATAATCTAAAATGTAACTGTCTTATTTTTAAAGTTTGTTTTCAATGTGTATAGTTAGTCCATTTCTTTGCTATCCATTTATATTCAATTTTTTAATGATATATTTAACAAATTCCCACCTACACCTACAGACCATTCTCAAGTTACAAAGATACTCATTTTATACCATACCCCTTTTTATTTTATAATATTCTATCATGCTGCTTCTTCCTGGTATAATTTGCTAGTGCTAACCCATAGGCTTGGGCAAGAGGGGACCCGCTCAAAGCGCATTGTCTTTAGGGACCATGCAGTTGTTGTCGTTCAGGTTTTTTCATTTTTTTTTTTAATTTTTTTAAAAAACTTCATGAATGGAAATTTTCATAATTTTCATGTGTGATCCGTGACTGCAGTGCAAGGTGCACATGCTTCTCTTGCTTGTCCTGCTGCCCTGAGACCTTGATAATGATGCAATGAATTACAAGAATGTTCTAGGTGTCCAGCAGCAGTGAGAGGTGGAGAAACACACCTTGTGCCGCAGCCTCTGGACCAGGTAACAAGGTCATCCTCCCAGGGAAAATATAATTAATGAAGGAAGCAAGAAGCATGTTAAGGTGGCCCGTAGTCAAAGACTGACCATTACTGCTTTTAATCATGCAAAAACAGTTCATGGTTTCTCTCCATGTGAGACCTACCTTGCATCAATCCCTTTCCCCAAAAATTATTGTTTTATATTTACACACCCACATCCTGTTATTTTTTTGTGTTTATGATGATGCCATAGGACAGGGCTCAAAATTTTCACTATCCTTTTGGGAAGGGAAATTTAGGCCTGGCACATAGAAATGCACCCTTGGTGACCATACTATGAATTTCCGTGACAAGTTACTTTTAAGGTCTGACTAGTAGCATAGGACTTCAAATTCTAAGCCCTGCCATAGGAGCTAAGTTTTGTGTCCACTTTATTTTTACAGCACTTTAAAACTTTTTTGTTAATGATAAAATATTTCTGAGGTGGAATAATGTGAAAACCTTTCAAATGGAATAGTTTAAAGGCTTAGCTGTGTAATAAAACTATTTTATTTTTGTTTTTATAGGCAGCTATGATTCCAGAACATAAACCATCAGGTAACGTGAAATTTCATATGATAAATTGAAAGTATTGTTCTTACTGGTCATTCACATGCAGTGTAACATTGTGTGCGTGTGTGTGTGTGTCACAGTCTTCCAGTTCTGTGCCATTTTGTTTCCTACTTAACTTAAAGGGAAACTATACTGCCAGGAAAACAAAGTAGTTTTCCTGGCATTATAGCTCCCTATAGTGCCCTCCCCCCCACACACTTTCCTATGTGGTTTTAGGTGATGCTGGATGTCCTCATTCATAGTGTGAGAGCGTCCAGCGTCAAGCAAACAAAAGTCGCCTAACATCCCGGGAGTCTCTCTAGTGGCTATGTGGCAGACAGCTACTAGAGGTAGAGTTAACCCTGGCAGGTGATTATTGCAGTTTATTAAATTGTGCAATAATTACCATTGCAGGGTTAAACAGACAATGGCTGAAGTGGTATTGGTGGATATAGTGTCCTTTTAAAGCATACAGTTTTATATTCCTCTGCCTCCTTCTTCCCCCCTGCCAGCTAATAGATTGTTAAAAAAACATTTTACACTTCCCTTATTTTAGCCCTTAAGTCCTTGGTGCTGGCTTCACCTCCTCAGATGATGACATCAGCACCAAGGGGAACCAAATGTGCGGCAAGTGCCACGCTCATTAGAGTTTTCCAATGGAAAAGCATTGATTTAATGTTTTCATGTGGGGGACTTGAAGACCCTGGACGTCCTCATGCAAAGTCAAACTCTATGAAAAAGCAGGAAGCACCTCTAGTGGCATAAAATGACATAAAACTGAAAAGTGAGACTGCAGGGGGATGATCTATACATCTAACTGCTTTATTGAGCTAAAGTTGTCTTAGTACTTAGAGTATTGCTTTAAGACATGACTTAAAGGACCACTATAGGCACCCAGACCACTTCAGCTTAATGAAGTAGTCTGGGTGCCTGGTCCAGCTAGGGTTAACCCTTTTTTTTATAAATAGGTTAATCCAGGCTCTAAAGCCTCTAGTGGCTGTCTCATTGACAGCCTCTAAAGGCGTTTTGCGTGCTTTATTATGAATGCTTTCCTATGAGACCGGCTGGCTGAATTCGCGCGCAACTCCTGCCGTGCATTCAGCCGAAGAGGAGGAGGAGGAGAGCTCCCCGCCCGGCATGGAGAAAGAGGTAAGTTTAACCCCTTCCTCTCCCCAGAGCCTGGCGGGAGGGGGTCCCTGAGGGTGGGGGCACCCTCAGGGCATTATAGTGCCAGGAAAATGAGTGTGTTTTCCTGGCACTATAGTGGTCCTTTAAACACTCTTGCCTTTACAATACTTTGACAATTGAGAGTAAACATTCTTTCAAAAAGGGTATTTTGGAAGTCTATACTTTCTTAGACACTTTACAGGATCTCTTGAAAATTGGAAAATCTGCTTTTATGTTTGCTTATTTCAGTTCGGAAGCCAAGATATGTCCGACGAGAGAGAAGATCAACAACCTCAGCCCCGGTACTGCTGAATCCATCTGTAGATACTAATGTGAGCAATGTTTAGACTTCTGCATTCCCGCTAGAACTGAAAGATTATGACGAAGAAATGGAAGATGATGACGTCAAGCTTGTGCTCAATGAGAATATGCATACATTGCCACCAAACATGCAAAACATTTAATTATGTATATCCTACATAATGAAGCACTGACGATAGACCGCTCCTTACTCCAAGTATTGCTTAATGGAACCTCTTTTGAAGGTTGAATGAGGTTAAAATGATTATGCACTGTAGCTTCAATTTTAGGTAATAATCTTAAAAAGGATTAAGAAGAATACACCTCGGAGTAAAAAGACTATGCTAGTGTTGGAGACCTGGTGAAAATAAACCTGCACTTTTAAATTAATTAATATGTAAAACACCAGATTTCAAGTACCTTTTGTCTTTGTTTATGTCAATGGTATTTTTAAACCTAGAAAATTTATTTTTGGGTTGTGTTTTTTTTTTGTTTTTTTTCTATTTCAGTTACTTTAATAAATTTATATATTTTTTTTTTCTTTCATATGTCTAATCTCTTCGCAGTGCCATACAGAAAACTGTAATTTAACCCCATAAGGACACATGGCATGTGTGACATGTCATGATTCCCTTTTATTCCAGATGTTTGGTCCTTAAGGAACACTATAGAGTTATGAATACAAACGTATTTCTAACGCTATAGTTTTATTTCTACCTATAGGTCTATTGTGTGATATGTATTTATCCGTCGCAATTCTGTTCTTGCTGCAGCCACTCAGCCTCTGTCTGAGTTAATCTAGATTGATGATCTCAGCCAATCAAAAAACATTTTGAGGCTAGTGCAGGAAATCACCATGCTGTGCCAATCAAATGCTCTCTGACAAACGTTGCTCCAGCCAAAGGTGGCCAATGGGACCAAGGTAAGTGGGAAACTGATTAACATTTGTGCAGTGTTTCAGAATAGTGCACCTGGTACATGGGAAATCCAGTATCACAAAATGTACTACATGTAATCACGTATGTGTCATTGTGCACTAGTGGCTGAAAGCTGACCCGTGCATTTCACTGTTTGATACTGACTGAATGAGTGTTCTACTGTCAGAGGGTTGGGCTGTGCATGTGCTACTTGTTGAGTGAGCAACAAAGCTGCTAGTGTGTGAGTTGTAGAAACTAAACCTATGGATGTTAACATGTGCTAGAGATTAAATAGCTCCCCATGTTGGCATCGGTAGGGGAGTGGCATATGGTTGAAGAGTATTCTTGCCAGTAACACACTGATCGCAGATGTTGCAAGATACCTACCACTAAGATTTCCATTCCTTATTATTGATGGAATCCTTTCCAAGTACCTACAACTGTCACCCTGGATTTGCCAGACCCTCTCAGCTTTCGACGTGGACAGAGGTGGGCTCACACTGTGGAAACAGATAGAGTTGCTTGACTGGGATCCCTTTTTAAATTCTACCAGGACTGTCCATGAGTAGAGGGAGCTCACAGCGATATGTAAGGGCTACCATGCAAATGTAGCAGTCCATTGCTCTGAAATACAACCTGACTTTCCTCCTGATAGAGATCCAGGGCTTTTACAAGAACTACTAGGAGTGGATGTCCGATGTATACAACAGGTGATCTCTGCAGAGATGCTTGATACCCCTCGCAGAGTTGCTTAAAGGAGAGGAGGCTCCTTTAGTCCTGTGATTTAAGTACTGCCAATTCCAACACAATGTGTCGGCTATCCCCCATAACGCCTTGCCATCCAGAGAATTTCTGCTTTTAAATCGTTATGCACCTGCCCCAACCCCCTGGTACATAGGTTACCTCACATTTACACTTTGCTTCAGTCTCATCCATTGGTCCCGCCATGCTCCTATGCTGGGAAATGGGAGACATGTCTATGCCCAGTGGCAGAAGGTTTTTTACTTAACTCACTACTGCTCGATCTCCAGGAAAACCCCACGGAATGCATATAAACTAATGTAACTGTGGTACCTCACCCCCAAATTCCTACAATCTATTAGGGCATAAGACGATGACAAGGCCTCGTGATGCCTGGCACTATCCTGTATATGTGGTGGGAGTGTCCACTAATACACCCATTTTGCATTAGTATCCACACAATTTCCTGACACCCTGCTGTCTATGGAGCTGGTGTTTTATTAAAGTCCCCTACCCTCGTCACTTCCGGTAAGGGGAATCAGCTGGAGCCTGTGCTGTGCATGTGTGCTAGCATTCCAGACAGGGTAGGGAAACCTGATAGAGGCTCTGAGCATGTCCAGGGAACTCCTCCACAGCATGGTCCTGGAAAGGAAATAAAGCTAGTTTTACACTTTCATTATAGTTAGTGCATTCAATAAGCTCAGGAACATGGGACATTTAGGGTTCAAATTGGCTGGCAGCTTGTATGTCTGTCAAGTGCAAAAGGTGAGTCAAGCTCCCACCTCTCTCCCTTGTTCGCATTTTGCAACAATACAGCAGAAATTAGCAAAACTACAATGGTGCAGCCCCCATCTTTATGATTAATGGTAAAAACTGAATATTTAAAAACTAGATGTTAGCCAATCCACCCGAGTGTTTTGACAACTCTACATTGAAAATGGCATTATATCAAAATATTGGGGGTGGTCTTATATTTTTTTTGAGTATCTCTACAGTGAACAGTTAAACATTGGGTTGAAAACTTTCTCTAAACCCTTAATGATATTAGAATGTTCCATGCCATCCTAAATATAGTGGGTTTAATGGGTTTAAAATGAATGGTTGTGCAGTTTTAGTGCTAGTAGGGTTATATCCCTGTTTACACCAGGGAGACCCAGGTATATTTCCACACCCGGGGCTCCCCTTTGTCAGCTGAGGCAATACTTAGTACTGACAGATGTGCTGTATGCAGCACTGAAACTGAACAATTACAGTACTGAGAAGCAGACCCCCAGGATCCAAAAAGTCCCTGATAGTCTCTCTGGATGCCCCTGCCAATAGTGATCGTCACTGTGCTTTACTAGGTGCCTAGCACTGATTACTGCGTGATCTGCAGGGACAGCAGGTAAGAGCATGAGAGGGACTTTAGCAGAAGGAATTCCTCTAGGTTAAGGGTAAAGTATGGGTTAATGCTGGGTTAGGGTTAGTGTTAGGGTAGGTGTGCAGTTAGAACTAGTGTTAGCATAGGGTAAGGGTTGCTATAAGGTTAGTGTTAACAAGGAACATATCCAAAAAGCAATAAGGAACTGCACTCAGTCCCATCAGTCTGAGCCAGGGTGCAACCAAACCAGGACCGAGCACCAGGTTCCAATGGCAATAGCATGAAATACAAAGATGGTTCAGGCACTTCAAGGTTCAGAAATTGAATATTTATTGAAGTCCAAAGTAACAGAACGCTTTGACCAACATGGTCTTTGTCAAACTATCAAATACATATATCACACACCATTTCTAGGTACATACAACCATTAATTAAATCAATAATCAGTGTTAATTAAACAATAATTAGTGTATGTAACTTACACAGTGACAGTTGTGTTGAGAACCCCACAACCAATGAGACATTGCCATACAGAATTCCAAAAAATAATAAATGAATAAACTTACCATTAATAACTTCTATGCCAGACCAGATTCATCTGTACGATAGCGGTTCACCTGTCGACGTGGTAGACCAGAAAAGGTGCTATTTACATTGCTGCCTAACACCACCTCAAGCAGCGAGACTGGAGCGCCGTGGGAATAAAGGTAAGTAAATCTTCTCTTTATTACTTATTGGGGGGGAACGTACTAATCCAAATAGCTAGAATTATACTCTAGCATTAGGAATACATGTTTGTATTGCTTTAACATTGTTAGGTATATATATATAAGCTATTAAAAGTAAGCAATTTCTGTCTTGTAAACAATATATAATATGAAGGGGTGCACTTAAAGAGAAACCCTTAAATTACTGTGGGGCACACTTGGAACAAATGCACAGAACAAATTCTAGGTTTTGTTTTAATTCCGAAATTTGATATTGGCCTCCGTCCTTAAGGAGTTAAGGAAACATTTTGGTTTATCAGTAATAATTCCATAAGCACGTTTTATGATCCTAGTTTTTTTTTTTAGTTTTTATATTTTTCCTTATTGCAACCCTTGTATGGTAAGTAACATTTCATGTAAATTTCTTCAACTTTGATTTATTTGTTTTTTTATTGCAGGGGGGGTCAACAACCTTGCCACACCTTGTTATAAGTTCTTTACAGCAATTTTACTATAAACCATATTATTTAATCATTTTGTCATTATCCTGTTAGTCACACTAGACAAAGTGCATTCATTGAAAACTGGAAAGTACCTAAGATGGGTGTATCTAGAATGCTTTTGATCTGTGGAATTTTAAAATGTAAATATCAGTATAGATGATTGTGTGGGTAACACGTCAAGGAATTTATAATGGTCAAAATACATATTGTGTTATTGAAGTGGGACACCAGTGTGAGGGGGGGTAAAAGGGCAGTTGGGCCAGTGATTCAGGCTCATCACTGGCTCTGCCCAAAGATAGCCTATCTGCCCAGAAAGGGACCAAGTCCACCTAAAATCTAGCATTGCAGCCCACTGACGGCAAGACTTCTGTAGGATCTTATTGTTCTGCGTGCACTGCAAATGTGTCTAACAATGCACTTGCTCTGCACTTTTTGGGGATTGTTACTTTCCAAAGTACATACTTGAAACAAGGCTTTTGGCAATGTATCATTTTAGTCTTTATTTTAATATTATTGGATTGTTTGTTTTTTTTTAATACGATTTTATATTTTATATATATATGTGTATATATATATATATGTAAGAAAAAATATAAAGTTTTCCTGCACTCACACTCAGGGTCCCTTAGAAACCAGGTGCTAGCATGCCATGGCTAGTGTTATCCATATATCCAAAGTAGGTTGCAGCACTCACGAATTAAAAGTGCAAAATGTATAAGTACATAGTTTAAAAGACGATCAACGTTTCAGTCCTACATAGAGGACTTTCATCAGGATCAAACAAAAACATAATAGATACATTCATTATATATATATATATATATATATATATATATATATATATTTGTGCTCGGAATTTAAATACGTGATGGATAGTAACTGTGAGCAAAGTTGGTTGTGGTGTGCCGAAACCAACGTACGAGTGGGCCTGTAAATAAAAGAGGGCCCACCAAGGATAATGTAGTTAAAACAGGGTGTAGGTGGGTGGGGACAATCAGCTGAGCGGCAGCGGTGAGTAGGGGCTGGGAGCTTAAGTAGGGGACTTACTCCTCCCACAAATTCAGGCCTAATGGCCTTTCTACTTGTGCTCGGAATTTAAATACGTGATGGATAGTAACTGTGAGCAAAGTTGGTTGTGGTGTGCCGAAACCAACGTACGAGTGGGCCTGTAAATAAAAGAGGGCAAAAAGATAAATTCGAGAAAATACACACTTTATTGCATTTTACAAGACCAAGTTTCTGAAAGCTTGGCGAAGCTCTTTCTCTGGTTGCGGAATATATGCGTTATATATGGAGGATTTCCATCGCCCGAGCCTTTTGATGATGTGGACCGGTGCGTTTGTGCTTGAGGCTGCTGAGGCGGCTCCTATGCGGAAGGAGTGCCCGGAGAATGCAGCCGGATTGTGTCCGAGCTTAGATAACAGGGTTCTGACATGTGACATCAATTTTGCCGTGGTAAGCGGGTGCCCTTGTAATGTTAAGAGCGGAGAGTCTGGCAGGTGAGTGCGAAAAGTTGACCGTAGTTGGTCGAGAACTTTCACCGGACACCAGGCATTATCAGTAGGGAAGAGAGGAATTATTGTAGGATGTATTGACCGGTTGGTTTTAGTGGTAGGGATAGAAAGGAGGTAGTGATCCTCTACCTTGGTGAGGTGTGAAGTTTTAAGGCATCGTGCGATATCTCCTTGACAAATCACTGTGAACTCTCTAGGTCTGAGAAAACCGTAGAAAGCGAGATATATGGCAGATTTTATCACCGTATTGGTGTAGCTATCAAATGGGGCTGTGTCAAGGAGATTGCTAAGAGACCTGAAGATAGGCCCGTCTATGGGTAATCTAGTGCTTGCGAGTGGTGGTGAAACCTTTGATATACCTTTCAAGACCTTTTTTATGGGGTATGAAGACAAAAAGGGGGTGCTGTTAGGAAAATTGGTGAGGCTGTGGTGCTGAACCCCGGTGAGGTAAAGTTTAATGGTGTTGTGTGACAGATTAAGGTGTAGGTGGCAGAAAGAGGCAAAAGACACCATGGTTTGGATAGAAAAGTCACCTTGTAGCCCGAATTCTGCAGTGAATTTGTTAAATATGTTAAGTGCCCTATTGTAAGTGATAGCAGTGTTGGGTGATAATGCTTGGTGAGTGACTGATCTAGCGTGAAGCAAGAGTGTGCTTAATCCAATATTAGTTCGTGAAACCGTGGTGTCCTGGATGGCTGATGGTGAGCTGCTGGGAGTGCCTGAGAAAATGCCTGGAATCGAGAACGAGAAAGAGCGTCAGCGGCGGTGTTGTGAATACCCGGGATGTGAGAACATACTAAGTGAAACTGATTGGATGCTGCCAGCCAGGTCAACTTGCGAATCAGCCGCATGATGGTCAGGGATGATGAGCGCCCTTTGTTAATAATATCGCAAGCTGCCGAGTTATCTGAGTAGCATTTTACTGCCTTGCCGGACCAGAGATGACTCCAGGTGTGTGCGGCCACCACAATGGGGTAAATTTCAAATAGGGTTGAGGTCTCCCTGAATCCTGGCAAGGCATCCGTCTCAGTGGGCCAGTGGCCCCTAAACCAGTGGTTCCCGAAAATGGCTGCGAAACCGGTGTTGGCTGCTGCGTCTGTGTGGATGATGGGTGAAGAGGTGGAGAGAGGGGGGATAAACATGGAGATACCATTCCAGTCTTTCAAAAACTTCCCCCACATAGCCAAGTCAGCCTTGGCGTGGGGGTCCAAAGAAACTGTGCCGGAGTCCGGGACTCCATGGAGCAGGCAAAGAAGTCTGGAAATAAAAGACCTTCCCTGCGGAATGATGCGCATGGCGAAGTTCAGAGATCCAAGAAGGGACTGAAGTTCTCTCCTGGTGCAAACGTCATTCCGCAGGAACGTGTCTATCTCCCCTCTCAATCGTGAAAGTTTGTCGTGTGGAAGGCTAGCTCTGAGTTTGACAGAATCGAGCTCTATGCCTAAAAAGGTCAACTTTGTTGTGGGTCCTATAGTTTTGGCTGGGGACAAAGGGACTCCAAGTGTGGAAAAAAGTGCGGTAGTACTATTGATTGCTGTGGGTGTTGATGACCCTGGCTCTATCAGTAGAAAGTCATCTAGATAGTGAATAACGGAGTGACACCTGATGACGTTCAGAAGCAGCCAGCATAGTGACTCTGCGAAAATGTCGAAAAGTTTGGGGCTGCTTCGGAACCAAAAGTGAGTCGTGTTGAGAAGTAATAATACCCTCGCCATTTAACACCGTGTAAGTGCCAGAGTGAGGGGTGTATGGGCAGTAATTTAAAAGCGTTAGTGATGTCTGTTTTGCTGAGCCAGGGTCGATTACCAGATGTCATGATGGACTGTATGGCGTCGTCGATGGTGACGTACTGCAGAGAGAATTCGTCTGCTGGAATGAGTGCGTTTATGCTTGGAACAAAAGAGGAGTGCGGTGCCGATAAATCGATAATGAGACGTTTTTTATTAGAATATTTGTGAATAGCAATACCAATAGGGTTAGTGCGCCAGGAGGAAAACGGTGAAGAGGTGAAAGGACCGATCATGAAACCGTTTGTGGTTTCTGCGGAAATGAGAGTGTCTACAGCGACTGGGTCTAAACGTGCAGACTGGAGATTAGGACATTCTAGTGTACCTGGGGGAATGGCTATTATGCCTGTGTGAAACCCTTGTGAGAAACCTGTGGTGAGAAAATCCACTAAGTGCCTGCTGGGGTGACACCTTAGATAAAAAACCAGGTTGTCGATATTTATGTCGGTTAGTCATTTGTTTGGTGACAACCTGGCTGGACACATGGTCTTGGTATGTGCCCTGAAACATATGGAGCAGATGTGCAATAATCTACAGGCGCTGAAACTGCAGGAGCCTGCGTTGAAATTATTGCACACCTGTGCTTTACCTAAAAAGGAGATGGGCCTACCCAGCTTATCCCGGAGACCACCCACTGGCTTGTGAGGGGTGAAAGAGGAGTGAGGTGTGAACGTGGGGTGAGGGGTGAGAGTGGAGGTGGTGGGATCTGGTTCGACGGGACATAAGTCCGCCATGTGGAATTACAGATGGCACAAGCCGGGGGCCTGAGTCCGGCGAAGTGGCGACAGAAAAGTTCAGTGTCCATCTGACCCCAGTTCATTCTAATGTTGAACTGCTTGAGATGGGTCGCCGCCTTCGCTGAGACTGACTTGTGGTAGTCATAGAAGGAAGAGCCCCCGTACTTGATGCCTAGATCCACTACCTTGTGGAGATAGAGATCTAGCTCTTCTCTCCTATGGGGATACACCGTGCAAATGACGTCGCGGTATATCCCGAAAGCTATCACAAACTGTGGGATAGACAATTTTTTATTAAGCCTGGGATCCCTCGTTTTAAGCACAACAGAGATGTCACCATAATTGTATGCCTTGTTCTCGAGTACATCCTGAGAGGCTATGAGTAAAGACACCAGACACACATCCTTCCCGTCAAGGATATCTTTCCTGATAGAATCTGGGACGGAGTGTGCTGGTGACTCGAAAGGTGTGATGGCTGTGCCAGGTGCTGGAGGGGGGAGTATAGAGGGACATGAAGGTATGGCAGGTACAGCCGTGGTAGAGACTGGGACTACGGTGTTAGTACCTGAGGAGGAGATGGCGCTCTCCACCTTAGACAGCCTGCTATTGAGGGCCTGTAGATTGGCCAAGATATCTGCCAGGGTATCCTGGGTGGCCGTGCTGTTACTTGGTGGTTGTCCTTGAGAGCTAGTTCCCGGCCGAGGCTCGGGGACTTGGTGGGTAAGCAGCCTGTAAAGTTCTGCCTTTCTAGCTGTGGCCGGAAAGGGGATTCCCCTGAGCCTAAGCTCGGCTGTGATTTTGGGAATAGTCCATGCTCTCAAGGACGTGGGGGTTGAAAGAGTGAGTGATTCGCCTGGAGACACGGGTCTGATTGGCGTGAATGGTGCTTCTTCTGTCAGTTCTTCGGTTGGAATTGGTTCTTGGGACATTCTAAAAAGGAATGATTATGTGAAAGATATATTAGAAGGGGAGTGAGGTAAGAAGGGGGGGGGTATGGGGAGTGGTGTGTCTTGAAGAACTGGACTTTAATGCTAGATGCCGAGGCGAAAAACTTAACTGTTGAATGACTGGATAGGTGAGGCCCTGCTAATGCCAAGTGGCGATGAGAGGCTCTACCTATGATTTGGCTTATGACGTAGGTGCCACAGACGTGGTGGCGGGATGTTGGCCTCTCGGTGACGATAAGAGAAATCAAAACGTGTGGCCGTGACAGGTGAGGCCCTAACTAGAGCCCTGTAGTAAGGCATGCGAGGCTTATAACTATGATTTGGGCGTGGGGCCGTACCTCCGTGTTGAGGTGGGGTGGGGGTGGTAGGCCTCGCGGGATCAGATTTCCTGATAGGGTGGGCTAAGGCATTAGCCTGTGCCGTATAGCCAGTTCGATAGTATGCTAAAGGGTAAAGTTAGAGGACTGGAATGGTGTGTGGATACTAACCTTGACTGGTCGCAAATGG